CTGTATACAGTGTCAACAATTGTGTGTTGTGTTGGCTTTTAAAACAGTGTCCTCGTGAAAGTGCCATTTAAATTCTTTTAAAATGCTTTTCAAAAGAATTGTCCACGTTCTTTTAATAGTTCTGGACTGGAAAAACACTCGCGCGTTTGAGAGAACTTTTGTAAAGTGCGATGATGGACTATTTCGATCCGATACTTAAAGCCTCATACCTCATCTGATCGGTCAAATATAGTTGGAAAGAATTTCTGCAAATCATGCGAAAGATACATATTTGAGCACAAATTACAGATTGTCACCCCATAAGAGGCTGATGCTTATGGGGGGAGGGATCGTCTCTGCGAGAGCCATGCCGGCGGCGGTCAAGTAACGTGGTTCGACCCGGGGACCTCTTCTTAGGGGCTTCCTGTGGGGGCGTAGCGTGGGTGGAGTTGAACTCTATGGGGCTTCAGACTCCAAGCGTTTCCCACGGGTAGCAGGGAGGGGAAGACATTTTGCCAAAGACATTTAGAGGATTCGTAGTGGCTTAGTCACAATACAGAATATGTCCCAATTTTTTGCTCCAAAAAATCACACTTTGGATCACACTTATGGAAAAACAATTAGGCTGAGCAGTAAGTCTTACACCATTGCACGGGGTGTTGTGCTGTAGATATTTTGAGTTCAATGCCGAAGTTTTCGAACGGAAACCACCAAAACCACACATTTTGAAAGACTAATGTGAAACAAAATGGGGTGCGCCGAGCAAGGAAAAGGTGACGACGCTACGAGCACAGCAGAGCCGCTCAGTGGGTCAGACGTCGTTATTAGTCTGTTATCACTGAGATTCACCTGCTGCTGCGCCTGGGCTGCTGCACTCCACCTGCTCGCAGGCGGCTGCAGGGTGCCGCGCAGGGTACGGCAGGGGTGCCGCAGGGTACCGGCCGGCCGGTCCGTTGGACGCTCCTCGCGGCACGAACAGGTGCCTGCCCTGCGCCCGCCGCGCAGGTGCCCCCGTGTATGGCCGCCGGGAGGCTGCCTGCGGACCATCAGCAGGGCACTTGCAGAGCTATCCCATCAGTTTGTGTTGTTCGGAGGAGAACAGCCGTGATTTAGGATCTAACAGTCTGAGACTTTTCCGGAAAAAATAGATACTTTTCCGAAAAAAAACAACATTTAAACAATTTTAAAAACATTAAAAAACGGAAAACTTAAATAATATATATATTTTCTTAAATTTCCCCTATTTTTTATTTTTTTTTTAAATTTTAAACAGCTGTGGTGTCCCTGTTGTCTCGAATCTCAAAGAGGACACAAACGCTACATGGGAAAGTTTCCACGGAAAAGACGGTGGCTTGAACAAGGATGTAGCAGATCCTCCATAAGGCTTGCAAGCATCATGATTATATAGTCGGATATGGTTGTTTTACGTATTATTCATACAACAAAGTTTAGGCTCTATAAGCAAGTAGTCACCTCTTTATTTTCATTTTTCGTCTCTCTCTCTTACTTTCTCTCTCGCCCTGCTGCTCGGCCGACAGATGTGCAATTTGCATTAATCGCCCTGCTTGAATATGGCGCGCACGAGGCGCGAGGCCGGCCCTCGCGAAATATGCGCGCGGCTTCCGAAACGGCGACGAGCAGCACGCAGAAAGGCGTATATCGATGCAAATGGTATTATGGTGAATATGATAGAGGAGAGAGTGGCTGGACCAATATGCGCCATATATCGCCGTGCATTCAGTGCGCGGTGGGATTTATTTATTTTTAATGTCGCGAAAACTGTATATGGTTTTGCGGGATTTTGCGCCAATATTGGCGACATCAGCGCGCCGACACGCCCGTTTGCGCCGCGAAAACGTGTTATTTTATATATTTCGTCCTCATAGCGAGCGCAAAGAGCGGGAAAAAAGTGCGTGTTGGTTTTAGACCGATGAACGATTATAAAATGACCATTTCCTAGCCGTTCCCGCGCTCTAGGCGCCCGTGTCGCAATTTCCGAAGCCGTGATGAGTCTCGTGACAAATAACATGTGTTATTTGGGGCTGAGGATACACGGTGAAGGTTAATTTCCGCATTTTCATATGACGAGTATGAGTGAGTGAGTGAGTGAGTGAGTGAAGTGAGTGAGTGAGTGAGTGAGTGAGTGAGTGAGTGAGTGAGTGAGTGAGTGAGTGGAAGTGGGTGAGTGAGAGTACAGTAAAAGTAAGTGAAAGTTAGATTTATTTTATTATTATGGAGGATATAGAGGACTTATTATTAAGATAAATTTTATTATTTATCGATGACTAGAACTAGTAATAATCAAACTATATAGTTGACTATAGTCTGTTTTAGATTACTTATTCGAAGTGGGTGAGAAAGTAAATGGTAGAGTTTTTACCTTGCCGGAAAACTGTTTTACGCGGCGCGACGTGGTCTCGTCAGATTGTTCCTATGTGCAGATGTACCTAGCCGGAGGCTGGCTAGCCTCCCCCCCGGCGACAGGTGTGTGGGACGCGCTGCCCAGCCCGTCCGGCAGGTGAGGGGAGGTGGCCACCGCCGAGCCGGCGGCACCTGGCCCCGCGCGCTCACGCCCGCACTTGGCCCGCACGGCCCGCACTCCCGCGACCGCCGTCCAGCTCCACCACCAACCACCACCCGGCTCCACCTGCGGCCGGCCCTCTTACACTAAGAGGAGCGCTCGCACGCCGCGGGACAGCGTACAGGGATCAAAGGGATTTTAAAGTTCAATATAGTTGTTTTTCCGCATTTCCGCAGGAAAATTGGACACTTTTCCAGAAAAAAATCGGAAAAAATTGAAATGTTTTCCAGAAAAAAATCGGAAAAAAATAAAATGTTTCCCAGAAAAAAAAATCGGAAAAAATTGAAATGTTTTCCAGAAAACTTGGAAAAATGAAAAAAAAAAAAAAAAAAAAAATTGAGCGATTAAAAAATTTCCCCGAAGACCCCTTTACTGGAAAATTGTAATCTCTTAAGGTAAAACCTCGAGAACGTTAAACGCGTTAGCGTGAGAAGTTTTCATTATTGCTTCCATCCTTGATTGGTATGTTTACTTGTTTAGAGTCGTATGTAGTGAAAACTTTTGGAAGCTTTGATTTTTGGAGGAATGCATGGCTGCGTAGGCTCGTGCTTAGCACAGTCTGCCTAACTGCCCACACACTTCACACGGGCGTCCAGGCCGCCCGACCGAGAGGGAGCCACTGTTTGTTCGGACTTACGAACGGATTCCCAACCACGGGAATGACATGCGGAAGCAAAACGGAAAGGGGGGGGGGGAGAGCTAAACGAGCAGGAATGATGAACATTTCTTTCTAACGGTGTACCGGGGGGAGGTGGAGGGCGTCGCGCGCGGGGAACGGACGTCGGCTTCTTCACACTCGTTTTGGCCGCCGCCGGATGACCGCCGGGGAGCCCATCCCATGGCCGCCATGACCGGGAGCGCCCTCTGCGTCGGCGCCCGGACCTGCTGCCGTGCCGTGGAGGGACGCCTTTGTCGTGGGAGTCCCAGGGTCCCAGGGGGGGCCGGAGACGAGGCCGCGGAGGCCCCGGAGCAGGAGGAGGAGGAGGAGGAGGAGGGGCGCTCGCCGAGCATCCGGTCATCCGGCTCCGGCCGTCCGGCGCGGCGCCCTCACGCACGACGAAGCCTTCTCATTTTCACGTTTCCTTCCCGTCCACACTCTTGTCGCTCTCTCTCTCTCTCTCTCTCTCTCTCTCTCTCTCTCTCTCTCTCTCTCTCTCTCTCTCTCTCTCTCTCTCTCTCTCTCTCTCTCTCTCTCTCTCTCTCTCCCTCCTCCCTCTCCTTCTATCCCTCGCTCTTTCTCTCTCATCGCCACTACGTTGACCACACCTCCCCGCCCGTTTATCGCAATTTACAGTACCTCGCATACCAGTTTTGACTTGCTGAAATGTTGTCGTAAATGCAATACACTTTCTTTGATGTTATGTGGAACGCACGTGGCGGCTAATGTGTCACACTGTAAAATCTGCTGCATATAAATCTGTCTGCCCGCCGTTCTGCACGTGGCGGAGCGTGGCGGAGCGTGGCGGAGCGTGGCGGAGCGTGGCGGAGAGCGTCGGCGCGTGCCTCTAGTGGCCCGCCGCCGCGCCTCCGGGACCGCCGGGGACCGCCGCCACCCTTTGGGGTAATTGGACACATCCTGGGCGGGGGTTGGCGACGGCAGCTGCGCGGGGCGCGGGGCTCTGCGGCGGGCGCGCCTCCAGGTACACGCCGTGTATACGTGTTGGAGGACCCCGCGGACGGAATATCAATGTGCGAAGACCCAGCACCGCGGCAGTCGGCACACTGTCGACAAGAGACTCCTCAGCTGCAACCAGTGCATCATCGTACGGACACCGCATTCCCCTACCAGGGACCAGGCTGACTGCAAGAAATAATACGTATAAGTGTCCTTTGCTTCCACGGAGCACGACGTTCGCTGCGAAGAACTGTGCTCCTTGAATTGCTCTGTCCAGCTTCGTGAAGCAAAACGTGCGGAAACGCTCGGGATTGTAATTGCTCAAAACTGCTAGATATGTGACCCTAGATCCCCAACGAGGTATTAATCTAAGCCATGTTTTTTGCATGGTTTGCTTTTGCTGAAAGCGAGGGAAAGTCGCTGTTCTTAGACCAGGATAAGATTGAGCTCTGACTTGTCTTTCGCGCCCATAGACTTTAGCCGAACGCTGGAACTAGAGGACTCTTGGCTTGGCGATTTCGGGAGAGGGGTGAGTGAGATGGTCGAGCAGGTCGTGGATATTTGCTTCTCTCCCGCTCAGCTCTAAACTTACTCCAGCTCCAGTGGCACGGCGCGTGCGGCGTCGGCCCGCGCGAGCCCGCGCAGCTGTCGCTGCCTCCCCTCGCCCTCGGCCACCCCTCCCCTCCCCCGCCCTACCCCTCGCGCCGAGCTTGTGTAACCCGGGGAGCCGAGCACGGCCCGAGCGCGGCCCGAGCGGACCCGACGGCTCCGACTCGACTCGCGGCTGGGCGGGCGGCGGGCGGCAGGCGGATAGGAGGCGGACTAATGCGGACTCAGTCATCTCCCCGCAACCGTCCGGAGCAGACGTCGACGTCGGTCCCGACGCTCCTCGCGCTCCGCCTAGGCCGTCGTCGTTGCCCTCACCAGTGACGGCTCGTGTGTGTGTGTGTGTGCGTCGTCGCCTACCTGGATTACCTGGCGATGCTACTCGGCCTGTGAAGCGCGATCAGTCCTGTGATGGGCGCCGGTGCCATGGCTTTCTTCAACGCCGTGTCCGGAGTCGCCAGCCGCCAGCAGCAGCAGCACGCCGCCCCCGCGCCGCCCCTGGCGCCGCCCCTGGGGGTGGGCCCCGGGCCCGGGTCGCGGTCCGCGCGCCGGCACTACCAGCAGCACGTGCAGCAGCAGCAGCAACAGCAGCAGCTGGCCGCCAGGGCGAAGCAGCAGCCCCCGCCGCCCCAGCAGCAGCCGCAGCCGCCGACGGCGTCCTCGCCTGTGGCCGGGCCCTCCAGGGTCCCCGACGACCAGGTGCAGGTGGTGGCGCAGCCCGCGCCGCCCCCGGCGCCCAGCAAGTGCCCCTGCACCGTCGACGAGTTCCTCGCGCCCTTCCGTAACAAGATGAAGGCCTTCAAGAAGCTCAAGAAGCGATTAGGTTAGTATACCACCCGCCCCGGACGACGTCGGCGGCGTGGTTATCGTTATCTAAAGCGGCCCCGGAGAGCGCTGGTCTGTTCCTCTGGCGCGGCTCCCCCCCCCCCCTCCTCGCGCTCCGCTGGTGGGCATCTGGCGCGTTTGGCCTTTTCCTTTGAGCCCGTGCCCGCGCCGACCTCACTGCTCTGCATGGTCCACGCACTACAGCACCTCTGCCCGCGTGCCCGGGCGTGGCGAGGCGTGGCGTGGCGGGGCGCACCGCCGTGCCCAGGATCCTGAATGAAGCTTCCTGCCTCTTCTTCCTCCTCCTCCACCTCCCCGTCCTCCCCCGTCTGCTGGTTGGACGACTTCCGCCGGCGCGCAAGTGTCTGGAACGGCTGTCTCGGCATGTGCGCGCAGCACCGCCTACCGGCGCGTATCGCATTCATTCATTCATTCATCTTTCATTCATTCATTCTTTCTCTCTTTCCTTCATTCCGTTCCTTCATTCAGCGCTACTCGTTTCCCTCGCGCGCACATACTTTCGTGGACGTTCCGTTAGTTCGTAGGCGACCAAGATGGGGAGAGGGGGTGCAAATATCATAGTGTTCAAAAAATTTCTGGTCGGTAATTGTTGTCAATGACATTTGTACCGCGGGGTAGAAAAGTACACCGCATGTTTGGTCCCTATGGACTCGCGTCGTGCCTGATTGTTGGACCGCCATAACATTTGGACCTCCTATCTCAAAGTCTCGTGGTTTAAGCACAGCCCTCTACTCGTTGCGTGACCTCCACGGCCTCGGTCCAGTGCCTTGCCCGCCCCCTTCCACTCTGTCCTGCCTGACAGTCTCTGTGCCCGACGACGGTGTGCAGCATCCGACAGCAACGCAGCCTCCTGCACGTCGTCCTGCGCTATCGCGCCGGACTGGTCGCAGGGGCCGAGCTTGGTCGATAGCACTGCTTGATGCTGCTCTAGTTCGCAAAGGACGTGAACGCAAAGCGTCCGTCGTCCTGCGTTGCGTGTGGTGTGCGTGGGGAGGGGGGGGGCGTGCCGACGTGCGATGTCGGGGGACGGCGGTCGATTGCGGCCGCGAGGTCTACGTCGTACCTGTCTCTCTCTCTCTCTCTCGCTGGCCGCAGCAGCATCCGCGGATCCATCAAAATGAGCGGGGGGCAGTCGGTAGAGTTGGAAGCCCCGGAAAGTTTCCGGAAAATTTCAGGAAAATTTCCGGGGGAAAAAACGGCAAGGCGCTACATATG